AGACTATTAGGAATTAACCAGGAAAATAATCCAAAGACCATAACTTTTTAACCATGATACTTTGGCTTGTCAACAAAACCCTCCTTACTACGAACACTTAATTTCTCCTCACCGCTTTTCTTTTCGCCATTTGCTTGTGCCCAATGTTCAAAACGGTTAGTTTCATTTATAAACGATTGGAGTTTTTGGTTATAGTTCAGACTTGTCGTTATGTTACCATTAAAAAGTATATTAACACATAAATTACATAAATAATGAGGAAAACAATTGGTGTTTGAGGGAAAAAACTGAATATGACACAATTACCATCAGAAAAAGGGATTTATGTGCCTGTCACGGCAGTTTTAGTTAGTCCAAACATTATAGTTCAAGTAAAAACCCGAGAAAAAAATAACCACACGACGATTTTTGTGCAAGTGGCGTTTGAAGAATGTCAAACTAAAAGTTTAAATAAGCCCCGACTAGGACATTTACAAAAAAATAGTATTCCTTCGCATCGTTATTTAAGAGAAATAAGGATGGAAGCTCCAGAGGAGACATCAGTTCAAGAAATAATGTCACGGTTGGTAGTAGGTTCCCAGTTAGATATTTCTTTGTTTGTCGAAAAAGAAAAAATTAAAATCACTGGCTTTTCGCGAGGTAAGGGAACTGCCGGAGTAAGAAAAAGATATAATAAAAAGCGTGGTCCGAGCTCTCATGGTTCAGGATTTCATAATGCTATTGGTTCTACGGGCTCGGGACGGGATATGAACCGAGTATTGAAAGGCAAAAAAATGCCGGGCCGCATGGGAAACAAAAAAACTACTATTAAAAATTTGATAGTAGAAAAAATCAATCTTGAAAAAAACATTATTTTTTTGCGGGGCGGTGTTCCGGGACCAAGCAAAGGCTTATTGAACTTAACCAAAGATTTAAGTTGAAGGAATTAAATTTGAAATATTGACTAAGATTAATGAAATAAAGTCGAGTTAAGTTACTAATTTTGACTTATTAACAAATTCAACTCATGCCAAAAAAAGTCTATTACAAATTTTTGTCGAATGAGAATCAAAGAAAGGCATATGATAACACAACTAAAAAAAAGATGGATTTTTGATTGAACAAAAGGCGAGACTAAAAATATCTAATATATGAATATGAATCAAGAAAGCAAAAAAGAGCTAACTACCGAAGAAAAAATTCCTGAACCAGAAGTTAAGGTGGAAAAAACGGAACGAGAAAAAGAATTAGAAGCCGAAGTAGTCCGTCTTCATGAGGAAAAATTACGTTTATTAGCCGATAACGAAAACCAAAAAAAAATTCATCAGCGAGAAACTGAGCGAGTTTGAAATTATGGTAATAAGAAGATTATTTTGTGAGTTTTGGATTTTTTAGAAGACTTAGAAAGAGCCTTGCAATTTATGCAGAAAGAATCGGAATCCGTAGTCA